CTTCTCCGTCCTTCCCGGCCCTGGTGCCGCTTCTCTGAGGCGTTGCTTGGCAACTGGGCGGCCGGCTGAGGAGGCTGGGCGAGAGGCCACGGCTGGATGAGGAGGGGCAGAGAAGAGGAGGGGGATGCGATGGGGGTCCAAGAAAGAGGGAAGGAAGGGGCTGGAAAGAAGAAAAGGCGGGCCGTTTTTCCCCTCAGGGCCAGCTCCCGCCTCCAACCTCAGGCGGGCAGATGGCGGCAGCGGAGGACGACAGAGAGCGAACCCGCGCCACAGAAACACGAGAGCTGGGAAGAACACCCTCCTTCCCTCTCCTTCCGCCCGACTCCCTCCCAAGAGACTATTGTCGCGTCAGAACGCGCGCCTACGCGTGCCCGCTCGCCTCCCGAATGTGGCAGGCGTGAACCGCTCGCACGACGGGGCGAGGGAGAGACCGGACTTGGGGGAATCCTTGCGCCTGCGCAGAGGAGAAGCGGCGGTGGGCGGGGAAGAGGCGGTTTCTCTGGGCAACGGAGGCGCCTCCTGAGGTTCTGCTTTGGATTCACGTTATTCTTTATTCTTAACTCGTTCTCACTTCTGCAGGAGGGAGCGGGGCAGCTCCCCCCCCCCTTTGAAGGCTTCATGGCAGGCAGAAATTGAAGTCTCCTGCCCCCGTCATCTCATTACAGTATCTGCACATTTTAATCATTTTTGTTGTCTTGTTGCCGATTATCTCTCTATCTAGCTTTCCATGCTTCCTCTTTCTAATTCTGTTCCCGCTCTTCTAATTCTTTCTAATTCTGTACACACACACACACAAATCAGCCAATCTGTAGTAACAGTCCTTTTAGTTTTTCAACTGCTATTGTCTTCTAGACCAGGGGTGTCCAACCTTTCACCTTCCCTGGGCCACATTAGAAGATGAAAATTTGGTTTGGGCTGCAGGGCTGGGGGCAGCCCTAGCCGTCCTCCGCAGCGCCACTCCAAGTGCGCTTACCGGCAGCTGCGATCTCAGACAGCAGAGGCTGCCAGCTTCGACTCTGGTGGCTTTATGGGGCCGGGAGGGGGTCCACCTATTGACGGGGATAGCACAATGCAGCCCCTCTCTCCCCTCCCCCTCCTTCCTTCCCTCTCCCCCACTCTACC